GAATGTGGACATTGTTCTGAATAACAATCGTTGTGTTTGTAAACAAATTATCTCAGTACATTGTCTAAATAGCTATGTAGATTATTAATTATGCTGTTTATCAATTTCTTATCAAATCACTCCTATACACATGAAAATGTACAACATTAATTTGTTTTATGGTGTGTGTTCTCTGTAACTGTTTGTATATGTTGCGTATGTCTGCCTTTAAAAAAAATGTTTTTTATGTAATATTTTTGATGCTGTTATCTATATAAATGTTATTCTTGACCTATTTAGTTGTTTGCCTCTCTTGTATAACGTTTTATCAGACACTTTTATCTCTTGTCTTCAATCCTTTATTTTATTCTGTAATTATAAAATCTATGAAGATGCATAATTCTCGCCATGAAAAAGTATTTTTTTATAGCCTGTCATGCATGAGTTTCGACAAATGTCACGAGCCGAGGCGCAGCCGAAGGTGAGGGTTGACAGTCGGAACAAGTTGCAATGACGGTTCCGCACGTGCGTACTGACACTAACTGATTTTCTAATGGACAGTTGCGAGAAAAATTATGCAATTTAATAAAATAATAAAAAAACAATAAACTCAACTCACTAATCATTTATTTCTTATACAAATTATTGTTCACCTATACACTGGTACAGTTTTTCATACTAACTGGAGAAGTTTTTAGGTTGCATATTTATTTACTGTTTGAGACAAACTATTATTTATTTCGTATGATTTTTCATGTATATTTAATATATAATATAACAAACAACTAAACGCGCAAAGAACATTTTTGGAAAATGGCGCCAACCGTAAAAGAATATAAGCAGATTTTTTTTTCTTCACCCATTCTGGGTAGGCAAAGGGAACTATGCCCATACAGCCAAGTCTTCAGTACAATTTTTATTGATATGAAATGAAATTTAAGGAGATGAAATGATCTAACTAACTCATTGATCATCTTAAATCTTATATTGAAACAAAGCAGTACTTCTTTTTAGAAATATTTGCATGAATCATAAAAATGTCTATGATTTTTTTTAGTAAAAACTTCGTGGTTGGTTTTTCTTTTTAATAGACATTATTTTGACAGTTGGGAAAGAAAACGCACTAGTTCGGAAAAGGTAAAAAAAAGCACGAGTGTGTAATAGCCCACATCCCGAACGCTATACGTCCCTGCAATACGCCACTTTTTGAGAAACTGTATTAAAAAAATCATTTTTTTATAGGTCAGAAGGTAAACAGGCAGGATACTCACCTCATGTCAAGTAATCTCGCCGTCCATAGACACTTACATTGCCAGAGGGCTCGCAACTGCGTTGCCGCTCTTTAAGAATTAGTACGCTCTTTTCTTGAAGGACTCTAAGTAAAATTGGTTCGGAAATATTCAGCTGCTAGTTTTAATCCGAACAACTCCTCTGAAAATTCCGTGGTAAATGCGATAGAAGATGCAGAAAGACCCCACATCTCTACGCCAAGGGATCAAGCCGCTCGGAAAGTGACTGGTCGTTGAGGATTCGAACAAATGGACACAAATAATGGTTAAAATGCTATTAAATTCGTAGTGTATTTTTGTGTTTGAAACATAGCCGTCCATGGATGGTCACCTATCTGGATGAAAATATCACTTGATTCGGATTCCCAATGCTTCTATTTTAACTGAATTGTCTCATGAAAATCTAAAACTTGCGTCTGTTGTTAATTAATTAATACCGTTTCATTTACGGTCTTAGTTTGTCTTCGAAAAAATCCTATATAATATTCATCGTAAATAAATAAATTTTGATCAATCAATAGAAATAAGAAATATTGTTATTTAGTACTTTTAAGTGTATTTTGAAGTCTATTTTTTTAACCATGGCCTCAACAAAAGATACTTAAAAAAATGTTTTAAATTCCGACTAGTATACAACTTTTCTTTTGATATATTTTTAATGTTTGTTAAATACTAAAAGAATCTAAGTACTTCGTTTGACAATATACGTAAAAATTGTTCATTGTTCATTTCATTTGGAAAGTAATTTAGGCCTCTAAATCTGGCCCTATGTATGATGGTTTGTACGCATTCTACATAATAGTTAATTTACCACAAACCAGCAAGAATTATGATTAGTAACAAAGTAATTTTCGACTTATATTTTTTCTATTACGAACTATTTAGGGTGAAACAGCTGTATACTGCAGCTTAATAAGTCCATAATATATTTTAATTTTCCCCTGGGTATTTATATTAAGGTTTATCTAGTATGAAGTATCGTATATTGCGGTTTCTATAAAGTACCTTTATCAATCTGTTGACTCACATTATCGTAAAAATGACAGATATGAGCAAAGATATAATCAATAACATACGATTGTTTTATTCCTTGTACAACTGAGTAACATTTTTAATAATAATGATATAGAATTTATATCTATTTAAAACTATGATGGATAGATAGAGGACAATATTCATACACGCTTATAACTGAACTCACCAATCCAACTTTAATAGAGCAAGATCCCAGGGCCGCCAGACGTCACGTATTTTCTGACGGATGAAATGTGGACGATTGGGTAGTGTTAGTATGTACTATGATCGTATGCCCTACCTGCTAGCTTGGTCAAACGCCAATTTCCAGTATCAGGTAATCAAGGTACACAAAAACATTACTTACTTCACGTAAATTCTCATGGCTGATTTTATATATGTTTTCGAGTGTATAGTTAAAAATAAATTGTCAATACTACCAGACACTTTCCGTCGGCCATATTGCTTGACAGACGCTTTAAGGGTCTCAAAATAATTATCCTCACTAATTCTGACGCTCCATTTTATATATGTTCATCCGACAACTATTTTAAAAGCTGACGACAGCCTCAAGGCCTCATCCCTAAATAAATTTTAATATCTCTTGAGCGGGACGCGAGAGCATTTCTACGCGCATAGACTGAGTGAGACCACTGCCTGTTAAGGCCATGAAAATTACCTGAAAGATATTTTATAATTTTTAGAACTTTTGTTGACAATAAATTATAGCAACAAAAATAAGAAAAATATATATATTACTAAAGTACCATTTTTTTTTTTTTTTTTTCAATATTAAATAAAAATATTTTTTTAAAATCACTTTATTTAAATACACAATTTTTTAAATTAATTATTTTTGGAAATTTGGAAAAAAGTGGAAAAATATTAATTCTTCAATATTTCTTAACATGGCTTTTAATCTTCATTATATCATCGTTGAAATTAATAATTCATCATCCACCAATCTTGAAATTGAATATCTAAATCGTATCTCATATCAGCATTATCCTTATTTTCTTCCTCTGTAAAAAACAAGTTAAACAATGAAGGTCTGAAAAAAAATCATTATGAGAGAAAATAATTTACCTGATTGTTCTTCCACGACTCACACAAAACCCGGTAATTGATCTCCATCGAACCAATGAAAATCATATTTACCATCTTGTAGTGTCAGCCATTGTTTTCGGGGTTGAAAATATTTATCATCTTCGTACTTGCATTGTTCCAAAGACTAGCGATATAGCTAGCCCGTCGAAACTGTTGCCAAAGCTCACTTTTACAAGGTGGTAAGTTACTGGCATCGAAGTTTCTTAAATTCTTTCGATTGAATTCTTCATTTATATCAGATACCATGTATGTATTAATAAACAACTGTAGCGCGCATCTACATCAATTATTCCAGGAACGTTGTAAACATCACAGATAAATGTTTGTATTATGTTGAATACACGTTCTTCTTCATCTACATCACCAACAAAATCCAACGTACCAAAACGGTGAAATCTTGTTGGTAATTTTCATGGCTTTAACAGCGCAGTCGATCTCACTCAGTCTCATGCGCGTAGATAATGCTCTCGCTCCCACTCATAGAGATATTAAAATTTAGTTTAGGGGATGATTGGCCCCTTGATCGGTCTGTCTTCTTGTCAAAGCTTTTAAAATAGTGTCGGATAACATATATAAAAATGGACGTCAGAATTTACGTGAAGTTGACTAATTATTTTGAGACCCTTAAAGCGTCTGTCAAGCAATTGGCCGACGAAGGTGTCTGGGAGTATTGACAATTTATTTTTAACTATACACTCAAAACATATATAAAAATCAGCCATGAGAATTTACGTGAAGTAAGTAATGTTTTTGTGTACCTTGATTACCTGATACCTGGAAATTGGCCGTTTGACAAGCCAGGGCTCGTCTGTACATACTAACACTACTCAATCTCCACATTTCATCCGTCAGAAAATACGTGACGTCTGGCGGCCCTGATCTGGACCATAACGGTCTCGACTGACTGACTATTATATTTTAAATTTTCTTGAAATTTCGTGTCAATATACTCGTATAATATTTAAAAAAGTCTTTAGCCGCTTCTGCCTATTCAGTTATACACACATTTTAATATATCTGTATTCAGATTTCAGTATAGGATTGTTTCTTGACGAAGGTACTTCCTACTAGAATTATTGAAAATCGCCTTAATGGACGCCTAATTTTGGAAATGTATTATTCTATTAATAATTGTTTACGTGAATTAATATTTATTTGATAACGTTATAATATATTTTAATAATGTCATCACATTCATCATAATGTCATCATCATATGGTGATAAAATAATATAAGATTTCGCTAAAATGATTTAACTCACAATGTAAATTTAACTTTATTCTACCTTTTAAGACAAATTTGCACGCCATTATGTGTGGCAGAAAATACGAACTTTAGATTGTACCACCAAAACTTTTTGTACCATATTCATGCAAATAAATTATAATTATTCTTATTGAATAATATGAGAAAGTTCACGGATGATAGGTAGCCTGTACTGTCCATACTACCGTAGCTGCTAGTTCAGTAATAAATATTTTTTATTATCCACATATAGGTTTTTTTTTCTTCTGCGCGTATTTGCAATCAGCCCTAAGGCTATGAGCGAATCCGTGCTGTGGTGCTGTCTATCTATCTTCATATAGGTAGTAATAATATAAGCATGCAAACTTACCCAATATTAGTGAGACTGCTTGTGCTGCCAACGAGCGATTCAGTGGACTTCCCCTGGGCCATGGCTGCCAACTGTCGATCTAGGATGTTATTTTTCTCCAGCAGTTGGCTCCACTGGCGTATTGCGGTCTTGGAAGATGACAACTCTTGTCTCAGCTGTTTCTCGTCTAAGGAGTTAAGACCGCTACGAAGAGAACTGTCCAACCTACAAAAGTATTGCTTGAGTCAATAATTTGGAGTAAATTTTTTATATTTTTTTAGGGAATTTTACACGGGTACATGACGTCATACCTATATCACAAGAGTGTGAAGTTATATCGTTATTAATTAGTTAATATAAATAAGGGGGAAACTTATTAACGTACACGTACGTACACACGAACATCATTTTAGAGTTCCTACTAAGGATCGATTGATTTCTAGTTCACAAATCAAAGTGAGACAAAATATAGTTTACCTCTCAATATAATCATCCACACTTTGAAGACTCGTGATGGATTGCGCAAGATCATTATCCATCATTAGATCATCGGATGCGAGGCTGGAAAGCGTGTCCAGGGATGCTGTGCGCTCGTTGGGGTTACGGATTCCATTTACTATAACAAAATAAAGACATAATATAAATATAATATAGACCTATTGAATTATTTTTATAAGTGCCAAAACAGCGCGGAGATTTGTGTGTTATTTGTTATATTGTTTATATTTATTATTCATTGTTGTAGTTTATTTGTTTTCTTTTTTGAAGTGAAACTTCTCTAGGAGCATGAGGGTAAATTTTTTACGGATACGTCAAGAAGATGTGCAGCGTTTTTGATGAAGAAAAGAGAGAGAGAGCGATTGAGACCGATTGAGAGAGAGTGAGAAGGGCGAATTACCTTATAGAAATTCTAGTTTTAAAATTAAATTTTCGTAAAGAGAATTTATGAAAAATTATTATTTTATATTTTATACAAAATAATTCATTGCGTGTTTTTATTATCGAAGATCTAAATTAAAAAAAAAAATATTATTTGTATTAATTTTTGACTCAATATTTTAAGGACAATCAAATTAATTAAATTTATCAATTATCAATTTAACATATCTTCCTTTTTCCCTCCCTCTAAGTCTCGGAAATCTAAAGTTTTAGATTTGTATAAATACTAGTGGACCCCACAGACGTTGTCCTGCATGATATTTAAAGCGATTAGGATATTAAGCAAAGTATGAAAGTACCGACTGCAGTGCCATCTGCCGAGCTTTTGATTTGTGAATCTAAACCATTCCCAGATCCCCTTGAACACACACAAAAAATTTCATCAAAATCGGTCCAGTCGTTTGAGAGGAGTTCAGTCACATACACACGCACAGAAGAAATATATATATTAAGATAAACAAGACTTAAAAATTAGTTGGCCAAAGAAGTTTCACTTCTGACATGTGTACTTTGTACGCACGCACATTTTTGTGTTGTGTAACTGTTTATAGTCGGTACAAAGGGATTAATTATATAGTTTTTGTGTGGTTTCTCATTTTAGACTTTTAAAAGTAAATTGTTTTGTCAATGCGAAGGGTTGATTAAACAGAAATTAATTACCTTTCGGACTTCTTCGTGTGAGAGGACTTGATGTTATGTGATCTCTGGATCTTCTTTTGCCAACGTCTGAATCCGATCTCTTAACTGATGGGCTGCCGTAATTATTTTCTAGAAAAATATATATAACAATTCAATATAAACGTTAAAAATATGCAAAACTTACTTAAAAAACCTTTAACTTTTGTTAAAAATAAAATATGCACTTAAAAATTTTACCACAACTTCTTTGTATGTTTATCTCAAAAATTTCTCGAAAATTTACACGATATAATCTTTGATTACAATGTGTATATTCCAATTTAGAAAAAAACAAGTTGAATCAAAATTAATACAATAAATCAATATTGCAAATAAAAAAAATTCGATAAGGGACGAAATATATTGCATCTATTTCATGATAAAAAAAATTTATCAGCCCTGTTGGAATAAGTAAAATATTCAATCGCTGGTCACCAAATCCAGTACCTTTAAATTTCGAGAGCTACTCACTTCTAAAAAGCAGACCAGGTTGGTCAGCGATCTCATCATCAAAGAAGTCCCGGCCGTCAGACAGGGATAGAGACCCCGACGCGTGAGTTGGAGTTCCAGGGGAGGGGGGAGTCTCGTCCTTACTATCCGACGAACTACCTTCACTAAAAAACCAAAGAGAGAACTTTTTGAGAATTCTGCTTAATAGCAAAGTTAAATATGTTCATTAAAAATGTTGAAATAAACATCTAAAAATACATTTAGAAAGATTCATCTAAATGTCTGTATTTGAAAGAGAATCGGCATGGCGGTTATTCGACCTTATAAAATTCTTATTTCACAAACTGTATATACTTTTAATATCTTCATGGTAATATTAAAAGGGTGCAACTTTAATGACGTTATAACAAAATATTCATATAGGTTATTTTTTATGTTATAGGAGGCAAACGGGCAGGAGGCTCACCTGATGTTAAGTGATACCGCCAACAATGGAAACATTGCCAGAAGGCCCGAAAGTACGTTGCCGGCCTTTTAAGTATTGAAAGAGATTGAGACAAGTATTTGTAGTAATCAAAAGTAAAACACGTTGCGTGGTACCGACTACTTATTTAATAAACAAAAGAATAAAAGGACAGTTGACAGTTAGTTTACCTTATCATTGACAAATGTCTCTATGATCTATTTTGATATCCCTCTGAATCATATAGAGAAAATAGTTTAATAGTTAAAGTAGATTAAATTTTTTTACTACTTAGACTTACTACTTTTTACTTTTTACTACGTGACAACGTCATAACAAAACATTGATGATATGATTGCATATCTTTATGAATAAAATTGAATAATTTCTATTGAATTATCACTATTTTGTATGGATACTAAAGATTAGTTAATCCTCGGATGCATAGGCCGATCGAGTGGAAGAGAGCGGCGCAAGCGTACAATGCGCGTAACGGTACAATTAGCGTTACGGGACAATGAGTCATGCTTTTTCGTGCGTGCAGCCGGCGATCGATTTATTGGACGTTGTCAAGTCCAAATTTAATATGCTGCTATAAGTACAAAAAAACAGTTTTGGTAACTCAAAAAATATTAAAACATATTTTTTTTTTAAATTATCATATGAAAAGACGAACCTCAATTCCTTAACAGCAGTCAAAACTTCACCATCAAGATCGTCTTCCACAATTTGTTCCGATTTCGTCTTTGTATTCGCCGTTTGATAGGCACTGGATATAGATGGCGCCTCTGTACAGTGCAGATCGTTATTCGAGTCACTGGTGCTGGTGGAGGAGATGAGGGAATCGGCCGGTGACGTCTCATCATCAATAAGGCTTTGAGTTGAGGCTTCTAAGGCGGACATATCGAATTTGGCCTCTTCAAGGGTGAGGGTCAACGTGTTGTGGTTGCTTTGGTTTGTGCATGTGCTTGTTGTACTGTAGTTTGAACTAGTCATTGACCCTGGACAAAAACATTCATTTATTTAAACTTCGTTACATTATATCTTGCAGGCAAGTAGACGATCAACTTTCAGTGCCTGCCGTTAACTTCTTGGGTCTGAGGCCGGTTTCCTCACGATGTTTTCCTTCACCGTATGACAAATGCGTGCATAAACAGAACAGTCCATTGGTACACAGCCAGGAGTATACAGCCTCTGATGAGAATTGAACGCTAAAGCCACTAGGCCAACACTATTTAGTATTTTACATTAAATATCGAACCTACGACCTTAGGAATGAGGGTCGCTGAAACCAGTAGGCCAACACTGCTGCTATTATTACTATGGTCTTGGAAATAAATTGTCTCTAACCATTAAATAAAAATAATAATAATAATAAGCCTTTTTATTTCCTGTTTTACAATAGTTAGTAGTTGCTATGTTACAGTAACCAAAAATATTCATTTTTGTTAGTAGGTTAGCTTAGCGTTAGTTATATTATTTTAGTAATATATATATCTATATATATAATTTATTTATGAATTATCAGAAACCCCGGTTTTGGGTATAGGCCTCCTCAAAAGATGCCCATTTTTGTCGGTTTTATGCTATGGCGTGCCAGTTTATGCCAGCTGATCTTTTCAGATCATCTTCCCAGCGGCCTAAGGGTCTACCCTTCCGCCTCTTGTCTGGTGGTCCTTTCCATTGGGTCCACATTCTGCTAGACATTCTCGCTACATGGCCAGCCCAATGCCATTTCACTTTTGCGCAAAAGTTAAAGCGCTTGTTACTTTAGTGACGGCTCTTATCTTTGTTCATTAACAATTACAAATAACTATATTGAGGATATAATTTAAAGGTTACAATTAATACAAGAACTTACCCATCATAGAAGTCCGCAGTGCCTCGTGTTGGCTTAACGTGAGCGACTTCATGAGTAACGGGTGCGGGGGCTCATCCATGATGACGATTGTCTTCTTTGGCACCTCTGGCTCCGGTTCGAGCTTCGGCTCCTTCAGCTCGAATTTGGACTTATCATCTTCACAACTCGACACGCTGAGAGCGAGGGACACGTCGTCTTGAGATCTGAAAAGTAGTTCCTTTGTTAATTTACTTTGGTACACAAATTTAAGAAATCATTCTTTGAAGTTAAACTTCTTTTGGCGCGTTAGGGAAAAATTGGGATTCGCGCGCACACCGTCCCAGAAAACCGATACCCAGTCAAAATTTTAGTTTTTTCTAATGTTACTATCGTTTCTACAAACGTCGAAAAAAATTTTTGAAAAAAAAAAATATCTTGTAACCATGGTAACCAAACAACTTTCAAATTACCTATTAGCCATAGCTTCACCAGCTGCGTGGCTCTGCCATGCGCTGCTGTTGCCGAAGTGACTCTCTTCGCTCTTGCATGATGGACTTGACTCTTTGGAAGAGTCTACTGTTGGTGATGCCACACCGCTTGATGGCTTTGTGAATGATGTCTGGAAACAAATATTATATTTTTTATTTGACCTAGTTATAGGTTGTGAGGCGCAGACCAAAAAGGTTGTAGCGCCATTGGTATATATTTCTAGGTAGTAGTGATAGTTTAATAGTTAAAGTAGTAAAGTATAGCAATAAAGTGTTAATACATTTTACATCAATTACTTTTAAAAGTAATTCCTGTATATAAAATCGGAAGGTTATTTTGGTAATAAGGAATTTTTCTATGAGTAAAATAATTTGAAATATAGAAGCTGGTCAAATGTTAAAAGTTTAAGAAAACACAATATTTCTATAATTTACTAGTTATTTTAAAGTAATAATGTGTTAGGTTTTTATGTTTCTTACCACTTACACTTTGTTAAAGAATAAATTTTACATCAATTATGTACTTTTAAATTAAAGTAATATGTGGCTTTAAAGACGAAAGTGATTTAGATTACAGTAACAATTGCGTATTAAAAGAATTTATATTGTAAAGAAGAAGAGAAATAGAAGACCAATGAGTATTAATTTTAAGAAATATAATGTTACTTAGTTATTTCTCAGTAAAATAGAGATTTTTCTTGCGGTCTGAAAAGTTATTGAGAGAAACACTTGACGGCGTAATTCAACTAACCTGCTTGTTTAACACTTCAGGCTGTGTCCTGTCCAAAACAAACTTCTCCTCATTCTTGGAGTCCATCTGGATTCTGGAAGGCCTAGTTCTTGTTCTATATCTATCTAGGGTGGACATGGGAGAGCTCTGGGTCTCTTTAAGTGGAGTGGGTATGGGGGCTGGTGGGGATGGTGGGGATGGGATGTAAGGGACAGGTTCTACTTCTGGAGATTCTGTGAAGGAACTGGGTAGTTTTGGTAGGGGAATTACTGCGTGCCCGGTGATAACTGCGTCATCTGGAATTTTAAACAAATACCGTGGATATATAAAAAGCTGGTGTTTTTCATGTTATACCTAGTACATCTAAAAAGCAAATACAAATTGTAACATGTGCAACCGTCATCAATAACACTTGCAAGGAAGAAATATATAAAATATTTAATTCAACACACAAATAACTCAAACTCAAAATAACTTTATTCATATAGTACACTTATGAACGTCAACAGAAAAGATTGGTTCTAAATTTACATTTACTACCAGTTCGCAAGTCAAGGGCGTAGAGCGGGCAAGAAGAACTGGCAAGAAACTCTCCGCCACTCTTATTAATCGCCAAGTTTTGCGTCATACGAATTGTTTGTAAGGCAGAGCATCCATAAATATTTGAATTGGAGGGTAATACTCAACTTTACAGTATTTACTATTACTATGTTTAATAATAATTAAATATTATATAGAAAATTAAAACAAATTTAAAGAGTTAAATATTTTAAATTGCATTTTTGATTTATTATTCGTATTTCTTATTCTAGTCGTTTATTTTTATTTTTAGTGTTTTATTTCTATTCTCATTGATAATTGTAATGAACAAAATTATTAAAGCCCTTTAAATGTACAAACTTGTCATTGATGCTAATGCAAATGTATTATTATAATTTAAAATATTCCTTAAGATAAAATATTTGCCATATCTTAATTACCCATAATATCCAAATCGGCGACTTGCAGCTCTCTGAGGTGGAAGCTATGCGATCCTCGCATCACCATCTCCAGGTTGCGCGGTCTGCGGCGTGATCGGGGAGACAAATCCCCTTCCTCACACCCTGTCCACACACCGGAGTCACTGGATACTGCCGAACCTGCACCTGATAGTGTTAGTAATATACTTTACTAGCGGACCCGACAGACGTTGTCCTGCATATTTCAAGCGATTACGATATTAAACAAAGTATTAAAGTACCGACTGCAACGCCATCTGCCGGGCTCATTTGTGAATCTAAACCATCCAGGGCTCCCAAACGCATACAAAAAAATCATTCAAGTCGGTCTAGCCATTTAAGAGGAGTTCAGTGAGATACACACGTACAGTAGTATAATATGTAAGCTATTCTAGCATTTAAATTAGATCAAACTGCACCGGTGTACAAATTTGATTGAAATCGGTTAAGTAGTTTAGGAGTCCATAGCCGACAAATAACGTGACGTGTAATTCATATATATTAAGAAGATAGTAGGCATCTACTTTAAATAAAACTTCTTCTAAAATATGGCCAGAAGGTTTCACGCTGACCAAGATTGCTGGACAGTTCAATTAAATTATGTAATATAGTATCCGTTATGGGCAGTCACGAGCCCTCTGACTTTGAGTGTCCATGGGCGGCGGTATCACTTAACGTCAGGTGAGCCTCCTGCCCGTTTGCCCCCTCTATAAAAAAAACATAAATCACTATGTACGTCAACTCAATGGTTCAAATGAGTGAACCAAGCGGTTTACACCAAATAATTATAACGAGAGTGAACTTGGAAATACAAATTAATTGTAAATGTTTGAATCGAGTTTCCAGCAAAATAATATTATATTAAATAATTATCGGTTTAATTGTAATTAGATAATTATTGAAGTGCTTAAATAAATAAAACAAAATTATTTCATTTTGGCCAGCGTTAAAAACTTACACTGCCACAGGGACCAAACTTTTTAAATTTGTTTTTATTTTCTAACTATTAATTTTTAATTATTATTATTTCTATGTAGGTTAAGAAAATTGTAAATACTTTATACTTGTGTGTTAATTATTTCTGGTAAAAAAATGAATAATTAACTTTAAATTAAAAATAAATTATAAAGATAACAATGTATTGTAATATTATAAAAATGATTATATAATGTCGTTTGTAATTAACGAAGTGAATGAGAATTGGAGCCGGCAACAGAATGTCCCGAACCCGTGACATTTCACTGTATTTAATAATTGTCTATTCAAGGAAATAAAATAATTATGATTATGATTTCCGGGAAGGACAAAATTAGTTCACAGTGATGAAAGACATTCTAAAAAAAATATTAGAACAAATTTTTTAAAATATAAATTATTTTAATTGCGTTAATTGATAACTAAAAATAATAAAAACAATTTAAGCATATTCTAACTGTTTAATATTTTCTTACCTTCTCGCCATCCATCCGAATGTGTCTTCCTATTGGTATTTACCACCTGAAAACCAAAAGCCAACATTTTTAGTATTAAAACACAACCATTTCACAAAACAGAACTAACTAACTATGAAGGTTCCGGATATAAACGGTAAAACTACGAGCGACAGATCTCAAGACTTACGATTTCTCGACGTGCACTCGTAAAGAGTAGTTTTCGAACAATTAATTATGCGCGCGTTACAAAATTTCGCTTTACGTTCACATTTGAGCAATGTTTTCTTAATTTCTATGTGGAATAGTGCAATCATTATTTCAGTAAAAGTTATAATTTATTTTTAAATATCCTATTTTTTATAAGTGAGCAGTGATGGCCTAGTGGCTTTATCGTGCGACTCTCATATTTGAGGTCGTAGGTTCGATCCCCGGCTGTGCACTAATGAAATCTGTTTATGTGCGCATTTAACATTCGCTCGAACGGTGAAAGAATACATCGCGAGGAAACCGGCTGGCCTTAGACCCAACAAGTCGACGGCGTGTGTATTATTTAATTAGATTGACAAAATTATCATTAAACAGATACAGATATCTGAGGCCCAAGCCTAAAAAGGTTGTAGGGCCACTGATATATTTTTTTGATATGACTTTTTGCAGGAATAATTAGATAGACCTGACTGAGCAGTGTTAGCTGGATTCACCTCTCAACCCAGAGGTCGTGCGTTCGAATAACGGCTGTGCAACAAGTTTTTCTATTTAATTCATGTAGTTCGGTAATGGTAAGCATCGTGACGAAACCGGTATTATTTATTCAACATTGAATGTACATTAAAGGTACAAAAGGCTAATCAGTTACTAGCATTAAGAAATCTGTATTTTAGTTTAATTTAAATAGCGGTTTTTCGCTACAATGATCCTGTCAATCCTGGTTAGATAAGCGTGTTCGTAGAATTAATATTACCTTTTAAATACACCCTGTGTAAGTTTACCTAGTTTCTGTATGTTAATTTTACTAGACTGCAATGTTAGCAAAACTCCGTAAGAAATTTAGTGAACCATGATTCAAAGGCTAAATAACAACAGGCTTCTCCAAAGGCACTCAAGGGCCACTCTAGGCCTAAGGGACCCAGATAAACCTTCTCTGATCTTCAGCGCCTTTGATCTAATAGTGTCCGTTCAATGGGAGTCTAACGTTATAGAAGATAAATTGCAAATTCAGTTTTAATCTGCGTTTCAAACAATTAATTAATGCGAATCTATATATATATATATATGTATAAATAAAACCCGTTTTCCGTTGTCACGACATAACATGATAACGGCTTGACCGATTTGTCTGATTTTTTTTTATAATATTCCTTGAAGTAAGTTGGTTCTTACGGAGAAAAAAATTTAAAAAAATTGAGTGAAAAGGTCTAAAAACAACACTTTTCTATATTCCCATACAAAATATTCGTAATAATACTTAAAATTAAATTTGAACTTTAATACCATAACATTAAGTTCAAGTGTTAGTGGAGGGGTTCCGGGAAGGTAAATACTAGTAAGATAAAAAAAAGTTGATATTTGTTGTCTTATCAACTTTTTTTTATCTTACTAGCTAGACCGGTGTCCCGAATAGCAGAATAAGTATTTAAAAAAATTAAAGAATCAACTGTTAGGCGGTACGATGTTCGCCAGGCCAGCTAGTTTCAAATAAAAATAGAAAATATTAAAAATAAAAGTTGTTTTTAAATTACGTAATAGATACCCTCGTATGATGAAACTGTTATATAAATAAGATAATAATTTGCAGCCGAAAATAGAAATCGAACCACGTATTATATAAAGAAAAGATTAAATGTTCGTAACGAAACTTCAAAATTACTAGACATATAGGTAACATTATAAGCATTAGATTATAGCTATAATCTAAGCATTATATGATATTAGGTCGCTCTAGGCCACTGCTTTACGACAACGCTGGACCACTGCACAGTTTGCTACCAAATTAGATGAGATTCAATTGGAATGTCTGAGACATCCCTGCAACGTACGGGGAGTACGGACCTTGCTCCAACAGATTACCATTTTTTTCGAAATTTGAATTACTTGGCAAAGTAAAAAATTTAACTCTGATGGAAGTCTAAACCGCCTTCAAAGATTTTATTGATTCCCATCTGAATGTTTTTTTAGTAAAGGGATCAATGGCAAAAGTGAATAGATAGCAAAGGTACATACTTTAATTAATTAAATATATTCTATATAAAAAAATCTACTCTTTGTTCCTCATATACATGTAAGGACCTAATATGTATTTAAAAAACAATAACCGGCTTCGCAACCACTACTTCGCATTAAAAATATTAAATATTATCGCGTCTTAAAAACCTCGTGTGTACCATACAAATGCACACTGCAGTGATATTTTCAGCAAACGACACCGGGTTACAAAACCACCAGCCCTGAAATAGGTTAAGGATGACCTACTTCCTAGTCTAAACGAAAATGAACTTTGATGCTTCGACATACAGTGCATTTTTCCTAAACACAAGATCGTGACGTAAAAGAATTCAATCGCGTCAATGAAAGTGATCGTTAAGTTTAAAGCGATTCTAAATGAACAAATTATTCGTTTATTTATTTTTAGCTGGTGCATATGTGTTTTTAATGACACGGGGCAAACGGGCAGGCGGTTCATCTGATGTTAAGTGATAGACAATCACATTTAACCAGAGGGCCCGGAAGTGCGATGCCGTTTGAAAAGTAGGGTCTTAATATAGGTAGCCAATATAGACACAGACATAACATTTATTACTAACAAAAACATACACATGTCAACACACAAAATAACAATAATCAAAGAAAAAAAAATGAGAGATATCAAAAAAAAATCCCTTTTCCCATTCGGTTCGTTTCAAGTGTGTAATGCTTTGGTTGTAATTGGCCCTGGCTCAGCATTATGCCGAGGAGCAGAATGTTCCATAGCGCTGGTCTTTCTGTCAAAGACCAGAGCAGCTAGTTTGCGTCTCAGTCGCAAAAAAAGAAATATAAGGAATGTAATAAATACCTAGTAGAAAAATAATAAAAGTAATAGCAATATAGAAGATTCTCTCTAAAAATATCAGTAGCGCTACTTTTTTTTAATTAAATAAATCACCTTGTGACCTTACCTGTTTAGTAGTTTTGGCATCTATAGTCTTCACTGCGGGAAACTGCGGCCGTGGTAGTTGGTTTGTTTGGAAAGTGTATTTTCCGGGAGGCTTCTGAGCTTCGAAGGCAGGCTGCCGCGCCGCGGGTGCGTTGCGGATACTTGGTGGTTCCATTTTTGGAGGTTTTCTGCCATCCTGGTCAATGTTTTAAGCATATTTTTACGGGAATAATTTTAGACAAACATTTAATTATATCACAGACGTTGTATGTTTATTTTTTTTAGGGGCAAACGGGCAGAAGGTTAATATGATGGAAAGTTAAACCGCCGCCTATATACAGTTACATTGTAAGAGGGCTCGTAAGTGCGTTGCCGGTCTTTTAAGAATTGATAAATTGTTTAAAGCCCGACCAATAAAATAAAAAACCTATTGGTAGCGATAAATTAACTCTTCTCGTTGCTTCTAAGAATGTCCAATAGGCCGACATCACTTATATTATTTATATCTAATAGATGTTGCACTTAGTTTTTAAGAACCCATAAATAAGTCAAGTAGTTTAGTTTAGTCAATAGTTTTTAGTTAGTCCAGCGAAACAATTAAAGACAGCTTCGACCGTGGTGTTTCATTTCGTCATGATCGTAGAACAATGTCGGATTTGAAAAAATCCAAAATCCAGTTTCTATTATATTTGGATACATTGACTAAATATTACGGCTACATTTAAAAAAAATCCATGTTTTCAATTTCAAATTAATCAGTCGGTAAAGTGACGGATTTGATAGGAACGCTCATAGAAGCATGTGATTTTTCAAGAAAATGGTGTAATTTAATGTTATATTAATTATATTTATTTTTGTTACGAAACAAATCCTTTTGTTTGCTTGTATGCCAATTTTCATTATTAAAGAATATGAATTAAAAAAGTTATGACAAAAAACTAACATGATATTATTTTGAAATTGCTGGCTTGTGAAGTTTACTTTTTGGCAGATCCCTCACTATTCTATGACTATGACAATTTATTTGAACATCCAACACCAGTCACCGAATTTAAGTGATGAATTACCTGATAAAAGCTTTCGTTACCATAATGGAAACGTTTTATTTATACTACAATAGTTGTGATATGAAAGCATCGATATTTAAATTTGAACAATAGAACTTTTTTTATAAAGATTACTTATTAAACTTTGACTTTATGACTATACTTATTTTAGTGAATATAAACTTTAATCCAGTCTGAATAAAGTACGATTTTCATTGACGCCAATTGATAAGCTCAAAACATTTAACTATTTTCAATACTTACTTGTGGATACTGTTGTGCTTGGTAAGTCAATATGACAGTTTGTTTTGTGACAGGTTTAGGCATCCCAGCTGCACCAACTATGTTAGTCACACAATTTCCAGTAACTTGAGTGGAGACAAGGGGATTGTTGTATGATAGATTTGTACTTTTCTTATCTAAAAAGATCAAAATGTTTTATTAAATAAGTAAATATAAAACTATGGTACACAAAAATTAATTAGACTATAGTTACATAATTCAAATACTACATAATATTCAATGCACAAAAATCTGCGTTGTTTGACGTAGGAATGGCGGCAAAATTAACCACAAATACGCAGGCGCTAATGCAGCGACTGTCACAGATAAAAAATATTGTCTTGTTTATGCCTTCTAGTAGTAATAAATCTTCTTGGACAAAAAGTTAACATAAATAATACAACACTATGGTTTTATAGAAAATTAACTATGATTATTTAAAAATATGTTAAGTTAATAAGTAATATATTGGGTAGCCTAGCGGTCTTATTAAGTGGCAGCTAGGTACCGGGGTACCGGGTTCGATTCCCGGTTCGAGGGCAAGTTTTAATTTAATTTAAATTTGTTCTCGGCCTTTGGGTTGTTGGCCTTTGTTGTGCGGTACCGGGCGAGTGCTTATACCGTACATGGAGGACACGGTCGAATTTCTAAAGACAAGCACGAATTATAAAAAAATCCATACTTGAGCTGGCTAATGCACAAATCGTGCCAGAGCCATTAAAAAAAAAAAAAAGTAATATATTAAAATAACTGAATATAAAGTAAGTCTAGACTAAGTACTCACAAATGATAATTTAATTTTTATCAGGTCCTAAATACACAAAACAAACTTTATGTAAAACTTACCTAATGTATTATTATTAATAGCGGTTTCCTTATCTTTTGGTGGGGCGAAGGCCTGCTCCGCGGCCACACTCATGTCGGAAACCTTAGCTGTCTTGTTGTGCTGTTGCCTGAAACCGAACCTAGGGAATGAAATGTGTGTGTAAAGAGGGTGCTAACACACAAATGTGCACTTATAGCTAATAAATGTCTACGGTATCTATAATCTGTAATGAGCTCAATTTAAGGGAATGTCTGACTTTGTTAGCGCTATAAGGATATAAAATAGTAGATTCACGATATGTAAGGCAAATGGATGATTTGAAATAACGTTATTTGTTATTAAATATTGGTAACTAGCTAACTCATAGGGCTCCCACACAAAACTGCGATGCGATGCGATGCGAATTCGCATCGCAGGAATTTTTGCGATACGATTTAGTGCGTCAAACCGTTTGGTAGGGCGACCATTCCTTCGAAACCAGCCGTACTGAACGTGTTTTTAAGAAGCGTAAGATGGATCGCAAAAAGATTATTGCACTGCTGTTATTTTTAAATAGATATAAAAGAAAAAGAAGATTCTGGGTTCATCCATTCATTACGATTATGAACTCTGATGGGAACTATTTTATTCAAAAGTACTATGCGTTGAGAACTGAAGATAAATTTTTTGATTATTTTAGAATGAGCATATCTTCATTTGAAGAGCTTTTGAGTATACTATCACCATGCCTTCAATAACGATCGTACAAGGGAAGAATTCCTGTTATGCCTTTGGAAATGCTGGGACTGACTATCAGGTAAAGTAAAACAAAATGTATTTATTGACATTTTAATTGTTTGTCTCAGAGCGGACTAAAATGGTGTCACCAAGGATGACGTAAAATCGCAGGAATGTGCGATGCGAAGCAGATCGGGAATTCTTGCGTTGCGTTCGTGCGAATTCGCAGATATTTGCGATGCGATGCGAATTCGCAGTTTTGTGTGGGAGCCCTTAAGCGTTGTCCTGTCATAGATATGAATATTGAATTCTATGCTCTGTGTTAAATGATATTTGCAGCGCGCATTCTGTCAATCGCTATTAGTTATTTCAAACAACTGACAGTTATGTAAAACTAATATTTTGTAATGTTTTAATGTTCCCATCAACTTTCCTAATTTTTAATTTTTACTAGCGAATCCATTGCTTCAGGCATGATGCGACCAACACAAATAGAGATTTATTTATATATATATAGACAAGTCGGGTAAAAATAACTTAAATTATAAATACCTATTCTTGTCAATAGAATTTTAAGTTTTTTGTTTAATTAAAAGTACAGAGTTTTCATTTAAATATTTGTTATACTAAGAATAAAACGATAGAAGGAATTTCTGGTGCATCATTCACAAAAGTAAAAAAGAAAATAGTAAAATAAAACGCCTGCAATTTTAATGCCGCAATGTTTCACTCTTGCGTATATTCTCATTGCTTTCGGTTTCGTTATAATTCATGCTTTTAATACTCGAGCAATTTCACTTTTAAGACCAAGTTGAAAAAGAGATAGTCTTTTGTAATGAACCTATCTCTTTCATTGAACTAACCTTCAGTGCGCACGGCGGGATATATATTTTATATAATAGTTGGACTAATGAGATATTTTGTAAATATTAAAGTATTCTATAAAACACATACAGTAATCCCCCCTATAACGCAATTTTTGTCTCCCATACTACGCGATATTTCCCCCCTATAATGCGGAGATTTCGCAAGTTATATTTTGTAGTGTGAAATTAATAATGATTTGTCAAGTCCATAATTAGTTTTGCGTGTCTTTCCCCATGTTTCAATTGTGTTGTTATAAAATAAAACTAAATAACTTACTTAAATACATGTTAATAGTTTCTAAATTATTAAAAAAACGGTTTTACGAGAATACTCCAACGCAATATCCTATACTGTTCGGGGGGATTACTGTAATGTACTCTACTGTCAATAGTTTCGCCGGCATACGCGATAGGTATAGGGATTATATTGGTTTTTTTTCACACCTTGGGTTTCATTATCGAAGTTTTTGTATAGATCCCTAACTTTTGAAACATTATATAGCCTTTGTTCATCGTGGATAATGTTGGATGCTTATCAAATTTGTCCAGTAGTTTAAAAGCCTATTCAAAGAAAATAATGTAGATATGTTAACGGTGTTTACAATTTTACGGTGACAGATATAAATCAATTAGCAATAGAATGAAACAAATAAAAAACTTTACCAACATAATCCAATAGGATATTTCGTTAAAAAGAATATCTATCTATCTCTTTTTTAACATCGTAAGGAAATGGCAAATATAAACGCCTATTTTATTTATCTATAAAAAAAACAACTTGGTTTTTTGACGAGACTTTGATGATTTTTTACGCTTTATATTTTTTTTAAAATCGATGTTTTCCTATTAAAATTATATTTTCAAAGGTGATTCAACGTATTACAAAACATATTCCTCTCACAGCAACATGCCCTACAATTTAAATGGAAATGGACAGGGCACGTAGCCCGATATACAGATGACAGATGGTCTAAAACAGTAAGCGAATGGACAGGTCCAAAAGGAACAGAGCAGACCAATAGAGCGATGGGCCGACGGGATCGAAAGGGTAGCTTGAAAAAAGTGGTTGACGATGGCACAAAATCAAATAGGATGGAAAAAGTTGGACAAAGTCCGGGAAAGGCCTCCTTTTTTTATGAGCCGCTTAAAAATAGAAATAAATCAGTAGCGCTACAACCTCTTTAGGTCTGGGCCTCAGATTTCTGAATTAGTTTCATGATCATTTTTCAATCTAATAGGCAAGTAGGTGATCAGCCTATGCCTGAAACATACGCCGTCGACTTTTTGAGTCTAAGATATGTCGGTTTTCTGATGTTTTCCTTCACCGTTCGAGCGAAAGTTTAATGCGAGAAAGAAAGTCCATTGGTGCACAGCCGGGGATGGAACCTACGACCTCAGGGATGAGAGTTGACTGAAGCCACTAGGCCAACACTGCTCATTTGTTTATATGTATCTATTTTTGTTAAATGTCAATAAGATGTGGATGAATAAATTGTTATTATTCCTCTCACAATTCAAGAATAGAATAATAATACCGTTGACCCCATAAAAACATAAAACTTGTTATAAAAATTATGTAACTATTTGCGAAATAGTTGTTTTTAATTTAGCGGAAATTAATGGTATCGGAGACTTGATTTCATTTTTATCTATAATTCTCACTTTCTTTTGCGCATATAAATTACATTGCAAAATAGGAAGTTCTGTATAACTTTCACCATAGAAAATATTATTTTACTGTTCAAATCAGCGTTGGTACTCTGTAACTCCCAATTGAAACAGCCGTTGAGTATTATTACCGCGCGATCCCAAGCTAAGGATATATTTTTCTTTTATTTGTAGAACAGGAGGCTCACCTGATGTTAAGTAATACCGCCGCTCTCAATGCTAGATGGCTCGTGAGTGCGTTGCGGCCTTTTAAGAATTGATACGATCTTGAAGGACCCAAAGTCAAATTGGTTCGGAAATACTTTCGTGGGCAGCTGGTTCCACATAGTGGTGGTGCGCGGCTGCCTTAAAAAAAAATTGTGGAACAGCAGACGGCGTGGTGATACGGATGGTATTTTGTATTCTGCCTTGACGTTCGATGATAAAACTCATCGATGATAAGCTGTAGGTATTTGAACAACTCCTCTGAACACTCTCCGTGTTGAATGCAGAGTTATCCCATATCTTTACGCAATGCCATGGGATCAAGCCGCTTGGAAAGGTATTGGTCGTCGAAGATTCGAACCGGTCTTCGTTGAATATTCAGAAACGATTCAATTACAATCGCTATCACTTTCGGATGTTACAGATTGTTTTGTTAAAACGAAATTCGCCATACAGCATTCCATTTTCCGTGCCAATTATGCAAACTTTATTAAAATGATTTCGTAATGTCATAGTCTAATTCCGACGCCGCGTTTATTATATTTGGAGGCAAATTAAATGCCAAAAAACAAAACAACTTGTTTGAAACAAATTTAATCCCGTAAGTATATCTATAGTTCATTGTATTGTAGAAGTAATTTGCAATGATAAACTCAAAAACTACTAAACTAATTCCAAAAATTCTTTAGCCTGTAGAATGCTTCATTATAGCCAATTTAAATAAAAAACGTGTGTGTGCTTAAGTACACGCGTTAGAAGTTAAACTTGTTTGGCGTAACAAGATAAAAACTAAAATGTTGACTATAGCTAACTTCTGGGTGTCGATTTTTTGTGACAATGTGCGCGCGCATTGTAAAAATTTACTCTCTTCATTTTTCTCTAACGCGCCAAAAGTATAACTTCAAACAATGACAAAAACCGTGACAGGCCACAAGTAGAATTTAAACGTTCAGCACCTTTACCCTGTACCTTCCAATACCGACAGCGATTAATAGTTTTTGTGCCGCGCGATTCCAAGGGTGCGTCAGCGCTACGGAACTACATCGAACTTACAAAAACGTCGGTATCGCTATCGGAAGTTAAAGGATAAGGGTTCTGTCGTTCAATCGTTACTAAAAGCGGTCTTCTTTATTCAATCTAGCTTTGATAGCGGTGCAGATGACTATTTAAATTCAAGATTTATTTGCAATTAATGGTGTACAAAAAAGGTTTACTAAATCCGTCAAGAAACAGCGGGTGGTATATAACAGAGAGTGGCACAGTGCAGAGAGGAATGGCGGGATTTGGAGGATTACTTTGCCAAGGAGGGATTTACATTGCCAAAGAAGGGCACACAGATATACCTATGCGAAGACGGAAATAGAAACGTGTTTAAATGTAAAAGTATCTGAATTAAAAGGCTATTATTATTTTTATTATCTTTAAATACATTATTAATTCTATCAAAGACCCTGAGTAAGCTTGAATCTTCTGATAAGGTTAGAATGTAGGTTAGAAATAATTGCAAAGTGCAATCGCCAGTTGCTTTAGGAATTAATAGAACCTCAATAAAATTAGAATAGCACATTTATACAACATTTAAATGGCCATGAACTTTTCAAGCTATTGATTCATTCGGATATTATTAGACTACACTTTGAAATGACAAACAAAAGAGATTCATATATTTTTCGGCACGACTCTCAGGTTCCAAAAACTAACACAAACACAGCACACGCATATAACAACTCACTACTACACTCTCAAAAATATACGCACCCATTCTCATACATTCACACATTCATAACATCTTAAACTGCACCATGTACCACGCAATAATTTTTATCTATTATAGTTACCCACAAAATAGGGACTCCCTAGTGTGTGTGTGTGGGGGGGGTTTGACTAAAGTTCTGTCACGAATAAAGGTTTTACTGTTATTATTATACATATAGTTATTAAGAAAGAAAAAAACTAATCAGGAACAAAATTATTATTTTAATTAGTCATTAATGTAATGTTGTGCATTATTGTGATTAATACATTACCGATTAGTTCTGAGTGGTTGCCCCGCTGCCTCCTTCCGCGGCCGAGCGAGGGGCGTCGAACGACCGGACAGGACTTCTTCGGCTCGTAGCTCTTCTGTAGAACCTAGACAATGTTTAAAGCTTAATAATAATATAATCGTGAATGCAATACATTATTTACTAGCGGGTCGAGTGAAAAGCACTGGAACAAGGAACTGTGGCTGTGTGTCGCTCGAGAGCTGAAAACTGGCAACACAAAATAAAGAGGAAAATTTGTATTACTGTCACGAATTTTTAAAATGGTTTTTTTCAAGAGTTTTAATTATTCAAGAGTAAAACAAACTAAATTATCATACTAAAAAAGGTTCAGCCGTGAGTTGAGTTCGGTGACGGTTGTTGTAGATATGTTCAAATATATGTTAATTAATAAGCATTTAAAGTTACGAATTGTACCTATAAATGCTAATAATTATTCATGAGTAAAACGGGCTAGATTTTCAAACTATTTAAAAAAGGTTCAGCCGTCGGGTAAGTTCGTGGGCGGTTGATGTAGATATGTTCAAATATATGTTATATGAAACACTTTGAAGCTGCCTATCAAAGAGCTTTAACCGTTTAAAATATGAGCTTAAAGCTAACATAAAATTAGGGGTAGTGGGGTTGCGACGCTAACAAAAAACTAACGTGGCTTATTTAAGGGTTCTTAAATTTAAGTGACACTTCAATATTCATCAGTGTATTCAACCTTTTTGAACATTACCGGAAACAAGAATCTATTACAATTTATGAGTGTGGCAAACACTAGAGATACTACTAGACATTTTGGGGAGAGGTCTACATTCAGCAGGCTGACGAGATGAGATAGATATTGAATTCTAATACTGGAGCCCTTTTTACAAACATCTTAGTTACAACAATGAGAAGCATTAATATCAGCTAAAGTGTGTGTTTAATCAAATTCATAGTGGTTCATGTAATAACAATTTTAATACCTTAATGTATTAGTTCTTTTTAAGTGAAACTTCTTTAGGCGCATGAGGATAAAAATTTAAAAAAACGTCACGAAGATGTGCAGCGTTTTTGTCGAAGAAAATGGAGAGAGCGATTGAGACCGATTGAGAGAGAGTGAGAAGGGTGAATTACCTTACAGAAATTATATTTTTAAAATTAAAATTTCGTAAAGAGAATTTATGAAATATTAGTATTTTATGCAAAATAATTTATTGAAATGACGAATTGCAAATTAAAATGCCACGTGTTTAAATTTTTTTCACAGCGGTTTTTTAATGTAACATATTATGATTGTATTATATTATTTTGTAAAATAAAGGAATAAACAACAAAAAAAAAATTATTGAAGAAATACATTAAAAATTAAATTTATTATTTGTTTTAATTTTCGACACTTATTATTTTAATGACAATTAAATTCATTAAATTCCTAACATATCTTCCTTTTTCCCTCCCTCTAAGTCTCGGTAATATAAAGTTTTAGAATTGTATAAATATGAACAAGAGTTAAAAATTAGTTTGCCAAATAAGTTTCACTTCTGACATGTGTACTTGTACTTGCACTTTTTTTATACAGAAATGGACTGGCGACAATCCAATGAGAGATGTGGCCAATCGGATGGAACGCCTCTCCAGGGTACATATGTCTCTTTAGGAAATAATAAGGGGGCAAGGAGTTCCATTCCTTTGCTGTGTTCACAAGGAACGACAATCCAAGTATCACCGTGGCACTTGGGGATGTCAGTAACGATGGAGTGAAACTCCAGTGTGCTTCTATGACCATAGTTTGGAAGGATAACGAAATCAGGTTGTGTAGCAAGAAGCTTTCTACCTAATTTAATTTTTTTTTATTAAATTATTGAGTAACATTCACGTAGGTGCGTAAGCTAAAAATATGTTCTTGCGTAGAAGCCTGTTTTGTAAGTGGTGTTATAATAATCTCATTGAAGATAATAGAATATTTTCTATTTTAAACCTAAGCTTCTTTACACGGTCGGTAAATCGAATCGTCTAAGGAAAATAACCTTCAAAATAACACATTAATTCTTGAAATGGTGTTTGATATGGAAGCTATACAAAGGGGTGACATACACCTGTCGTAACCGGAAGTCTAGCATGTGTGTTCAAGGGTAGGTTTGGGGGTTATATTTTTGCCTTTTCAAGACACGATAAACTTATTTTATCATTAAATGACCTTTATAATGGAGGTTCAAAATTCGAAACAATAAGATTTCGTGTAATGTCTTTCCGCATCACGTAATTCTATTTGCGACCTTTTTCTTTACAGAGCAAACGGGCAGGTGGCTCACCTGTTAAGTGATGCCACCGATGGACACACTCAATGCCAGAGGGCTAGCGAGTGCGTTGCCGGCCTTTAAACGAGCGCAACTATTTGTATGATCTTTATGGAAAGTTTCTCTTTAGATGACGTCAAATTGCTGCTTTGTTATGTATTTTTTAGAATATAAGCTTGAAGAGGCTAGTCCAACTAGAAACATACCTCCATTCCCATTTCTATCATGTGACTTCTTCTTTCTAGCGTTATCATCAGCTCTTGATGTGCTAGCCGGACGTCGCCTAAAGCCAAAGGAAGTGGCAACGCCTCTGGTCTGTTTGTTGCCATTGCTCACACTCTTGTCTCGCTTCTTAGCCCCTTTCGACTCGGAGTGACCCTGAAGAAAAATATGTTTATTATTTATGTTATCAAGATAGTAAGATGGTACACATGCAGCATTTCTGCATTATTCTAATTTCTTTCTATAAGTCTATAAATCTGATACAAATAGATCACTGGATAAAAAAATCTTTTTTTTTTAGTATACAGTTTTAGATATAATTGTAATAGAGAGAAATTAGACTCTTAAGCTGCACTTGTGATTATTGTAAAACTTAATTTGGTATACATTTAAGACTAAAGACACAATAAACAAAACTAGTAAAATCTAAAATTGGAACTCTAATATTTTTATTGAATTTTTATTATCTTTACTTTTAATTTTTCGTATCATTTATGTATACCATAATTGTCATGTATGTTATAAAATACTAGCTGACCCGGAAAACGTTTGTTTTGCCATGTATATTATTTCTACGAAACATTTTTTTAGTTCAATCAAAATCACTATCTACTATAATAAAAAATAGGGGTTGATCGTTGTGTCGTGAAAATTAAGGGCTGGATGTATTTTTGTATGCCGTATCATAAAAATATAAAAACAAAAAAATTGCCAAAAACATATTTTTTTGTTTTGGGGTGGACACCCCTTATCACTTAGGAGTTTGAAATATAGGTAGTAGCCGATTCTCAGACATACTGAATATGCATAAAAATGTCATAAGAATCGGTCGAGTCGTTTCGGAGGAGTATGGGAACGAAAATTGTGATACGAGAATTTTATATATAGAGATTATTTGTTACTAATAATGATAACGTATACCAAGGTCTCTATGTTAATGAACTTAACAGATTATCATAAAATTTTATTGATGTCAAAAGCTGTTATGTCATAGGTAAAGTTATTTTAATCTTCTTAACTACGCTCGTTTAACTAACAGGATTAAAAATGTGATGGATTGGAAGTGACGTTAGACATGCACGATCTACTTTTAGTTCTAGTTAAGATTAGGTCAGGTATCTATTAGATATATTCTATAAATCACTTGAAACCACGTGAATAAATGCATTTTTTTATAGTAATGGGGTAAACGGGCAGGAGGCTCACCTGATGGTAAGTGATACCTCCATGGACACTCTCAATGCCAGAGGGCTCGCGAGTGCTTAAATGCACTTAAAACTATTGTGGGCGATAATGGTAAAAATCACAACCAAGTATTAGCAATAAGACATGTAAATCAAAAAGGTATACTTAATGTAATAGAACACTTATGTGAGAACACTTCAGATCACGACTTCTATGTAACCTGCTTTTTATGTATGTTCTTGTATAGGTATTAAAGTGTAAATAAATAAATTCGTTATATTAAATTACATTTGTTTATGTTCTGAATAAAATGTGATTATTATTAATCCCACGTAAATTTTGTTATCAATTATTTAGAAAGATATATAGGATAACATAAATTCAACCGATTTGGAATCTGTGTAATTAATACAGGTCGGGTTCATAATCTGGATATAACGAAGAGACTGGGTCTACGGGTTCCAAGCAAGAACCTGAGGCGGAAGTCTCAACTGTTGGATGTACCGCGCGCACACTTCAACTTGGTAACTCACGCGAGCAATACATATAAAAAATACAATTTCTATCGAGTTAGATCGATTTGTTTGTACACTGGCTGAGTTCGCAGCAGTTGCTGATATTATTAACTACGTATATTATATATAATTTTTTTTATTGTTGGATTATCTGTGTAGGTATTATTGTGTAGATATAGAAAATATAAACATATGAATCATATATTACTTTGAAAATACTTGCACCCATTAATATGTGGCGCATGTTACTTCCTTATTTAGTTGTTCCTGAATAAGTTCCGCCTAGAGATAGTCAACGTAATCTTAGTATTACGTCAGTGAATCAACTCCCTAACTAATCTAGATCCACAAAGAAAAGAGGACCAAGAATGTTTATTATTGACCCGTTGACCGCGATATTATCTGTAATAACAACAAAATCTAGTATACTGCTTCCTTATCTATATAAATAAAAATGAATCGCAAAATATGCCGCTGAGCGCAAAACACGAAGACGTAGTTTTATTTATTCTTTGAACTCTGAGGAAGATTTTTATGATGTGCAATTGCAAGGACAAACCTAAAAAAGCGAACAGTCTCTATAGGATAGCAAAATTTCCCATGTCTTGGTATATAAAGCTGCTAAAATCTTATTAAGTTCGCGGGGGCAAATAAACGAAAATACATAAGCGTTATATTTTTTTTGTAGAACTCTCTTACGAGGTGAAGCCTCCAATGTGCCATATTTAGGCAACCAGAAGCCAGTTGTTACTGCTATTTTTCTAAATTCGTCGTATCTTACATAAGGCTTGCCTGGTTTTCTCTAACTTAAGGGCCTTTCAATTTTATTGCTCCTGGGTTTACACCAAAGTTCTTGTTTCGATCCACGACGGAACTCTCTAAAATTAATTAATATAATAGACACAGGACACGTATGAGCTATACCACCCATTTCTCATTTTCATTAAAAGTCTAATGTCAATTAAATTGGTTCAAATACATTATAAGGATTCATCAATCATTTTATTAATAGCTAATAATATGATCGCATATTTTCCCATGGATTCCTTTGTATTAATGCCGAACTTAATTATACTATTCGAGGACTGACCTTTTGTAAAATTGTTTCGTTTCGAAAAGTTATTATAATCTAAGATCACATTTAAGCAAATTTAGTAATCCAGTTTCTACGCGTGTTTTACGGAATAATTTACAGTAATTATATAAGCCTCTCAAACACAAAATAACTTTATTCATATAGGTGACCATAACACAACATTAACACTGGTAACACTTATGAACGTCAACAGAAAAAATGTTAAATCGATTCTAAATTGACATTTACTACCAGTTCGTAAGTCAAGGGCGTAGAGCGTGCAAGAAATGGCAAGAACTCTCCGCCACTCTTTTTAATCGCTTTTTTTTTGAGTTATAGAAATTGTTTGGATCTAATCAATCCCAAAGATTAGGATCATTAAAATAAATGTCAAATTTATAAAAAGCTTTACTGATTAATTTACATTATTATTATTTCATTAATAATAAATCAAAATTTTAAATTGTAAGCAATATTTTTTTGCATTTGTTTCCAGCCGATACCCACTCCACACTATTCTAAGAACAGGGTAACTAGCGGAAATTACCTAGATCACATCAGGTGAGCCATACGTGCCCGATCACTATTTATTATACGAGATAGTGTTCATTGCGCATATAGAAAGAAAAACACAGCCACAGAGTTGAGAATAACATAACCTCCAGGCTAACACGGACTTCGTATCCTTCATATTATTTAAAAACATCCCTCGGAAGTCTCCGTCAGATATGGCACATTAACAATGGACTCTCATGCTTGACATATTTGGCACCTCGATCTGTGTGCGGCCTACTAACTAGTAATGACGTCTTTTGTTTCAAGCCTTTGAACATATGCTCCCGGGTTATGTCATCAAATATTTTTTAAAATTCGCTACAACCTTATTAGGTCTGGGCCTCACATTTCTGTTTCATGATTATTTGTCAATCTAATAGGCAAGTAGGTTTGGGTTTAAATAAGCGGCTTTCCTCACGATGTTTTCCTTCACCGTTCGAGCGAATGTTAAATGCGCACATAGAAATGTAGTCTATTGGTGCACAGCCAGGAATCAAACCTACCGACGTCAGGAAGAGTCGCGTGCTGTCAGGCCAACACTGCTCTCAAAACTCTTGATAATAACAAACACCGAACTTTGCCACAAAAAACTCTTTCATAACATCGTAGTTTATAATAAATTACATTGAAATTCACAATAGGCTGAGCCGTGCGAAAGTACTGCCAGTAATAGTACATTCACCTGAGAACGGGGAAGGAATATAAACATAGGTATTTACTTAAATTTAAATGGTTTGTATTGTTACGTTATTCAGTGCTGGGAATTGTGAATGTTTAGAACTAATACTATGTAGAATGTAGGAAATATGACTAACAGAATGGACAAAAAACGCTATAAGCAAGATTGTTAAAACTTCTTTCACGAAGTTATTATATTATTTACAAAACGACGCAATATTATTGTAATACAAACCGCGTTGTAAACCTCTTCCTTTGAGTTTTTTGAAGTCAGCCCGTACTTTATAGGATATTTAAGAATGTACCGATATTCATAGGTTTAATCATTTTTATTATAAAAATTATAATGTGCAAAAATCGCGAATCCTTTTAAATAAAAAATACCCCTGTCAGTCTTAGCTCTTCCATAACAAACTTACTAGTTGATTCCAGAACATTTTTTTTTTGTTTTATCAATTACATTCGGTTAGCTTGCTTTCCGAGTCCTGGTTCAAATTCAGAAGTATTGTAAATGCATTGGACAGTTCGAACACACAAGAAGCTTTTTAATTTACTGACGTTTTTATGAGTTCACACCGCATGCGTAATTAGATCGTATTTGATTAGATCCCGCAAAACATATTAATGATTAGGTGTTTTACAGTTAACAAAGCCTTTTCAAGCAAAATTAAAGAGTTATTTTATTTTTTATTTATTTAAACTTCGCTATATATAAAGAAAAACTAATAACATAACAATTATAAGTGTTGCAACGGACGGCCTTATTGCTAACAAGCGATTTTTTCCTGGCAACCCTAAATTATATATCCCTAAATTAAACATTTATGTCATCGTAACTTAAGGCTCGTGGTAACCAATTTAATTTTTAATTTTTTTCTATGTGTCAACCTGTGGTGTCAATCATGCCACCCATACGCGCCCTGAGATAATAGACGGAGGCGTGATTGTGTAAAGGTTATTACAATCTGTGATTCAAATCTCTATGGAATAATTCGAAATGTCAGAATGGAAACACGAACGAACGATTCAATGATAATGACAGTATCACAATAGGATTTTAAATAACCTGCTATGCGAAGACTTTGTTTTGAAAGTGTAGTTGATATACATCGTATAAAATTCAAAATTCAAAAATCATTTATTCACGTAGGTAACACAATGTACACTTGTGATTCGTCATTAAAGAAATACATATTAATGCTTCTAATTTTACATTTACTGCCAGTTCTCAAAGCAAGGGCGTAGAACGGAAGAGAAGAACTGGCAATAAACTCTCCGCCACTCTTTTAATCGCCATGTTTTTTTTACACAACGGATTATATGAACGGTGAGACCGGCAATGTTCAAGGTCAAATGACAAGCTTAAGTGTGAACTAATACTTACATCTGTCAAAAGTCTTAGGATTTCGACAATATTATGTTTGCACACATAGTTTAGGGCGTACTGGAGGAAAATGGAGGCGTTCGTCCAGAAATAGACAAAAGAGGCTGGTAATGATATTTGCGCTTAGTACGTACCTATATATCTCTGAATCTTAGCCTAAAATTATTTAATCTTTTTTATACTAAATATATATTTATATCTTACCCCATTCTGAATATAATATCCTAGATACGATTTTATTAATAGCATAAATTGGAATTAATTTTGGATTTGGATTAAGATTATGTCCTGTAACACAAAAACTAGCCCACTAGCGATACTTTTTAATTTCATTCAAGAGTTGTATTATGTTATACAATCATTTTGTATTCTAAAGCTAAACATAACCGGAAGTGAGGTGGATGAACTTAACTGTTAACGTTGTATTTCCATAAATAATTAATTTACACTAAAACCTCTGAGAACATTATTTGATTTTTATAGAATTTACGAAGCCGTTTGCCAGGCACGTAATTTAAATTGAGATGGCTTGAAATTTGCGAACTAAAGGATTTAAACTCCTTAAGACTAAAATACTGTTTCGTAGCTTACTATGGTATAATAATCCAGTGCCTCAGAAATGCATTCATATTATTTTTATAAACAACTAGCAAACTCGGCGAACTCCGTTTCGCCACCAGATGGCTTCGTTTTATGTAACATTTCGTTTGGTGATCCCGCTTTTCTGATGAAATTTTTCCTGAATTTTATATTTTTTAATTTTGCTATAAACCTCACGGAGCCCGAGACCTTTCCAACGAACGGAACAAAACCGTGGAAATCGGTGTGTGCGTTCTGGAGTTATAGCGTCAGGAAAAACCGACTTATTTTTATATAGTAGATTAGGTGAACAGCCTTCTATGTCTGACAAATATGATCGATTTTTGGGTTCGATACATGCCGGTTTCCTAACTATGTTTGCCTTCACCGCAGGATCAGAATTACCTTTCTATATGCGCAATGAGAACTTCGGTGATTCGAACGCACAAACATACCATTAGCCACTACTGGTATTTTATCAGTCAACCCTGAAGATATAACATTTAAAACACAGACTTATTAACCAGTAAAAACGAATGAAATGTCAAAAAAAAATTAAAAAATTCCCCAAACATCGAAAACATACATTTAGTAATTTTCCTCTTACCCAATAAATATTACGTCTATCAAACTATTATTACCTCAATGGAGATCTGTTATCTAAGTAGCTTTACAATACAATAGGGAAAAAGTTCTGTACAATTTATTCGATAGATTGAGTCCATTGTACGTGCCGATACAATGTTTTGATTTGGAGACAAATGATTAATTTGTTCATAGTATTGTCTTTGATTGACATAACCTTTACACATTTAAAGAAAAAACTTTTTAACCGGATTAAAGTTATGTATTATAAATTTACAATTATTTAACATAATGTATTATATTATTATAATACATTTCTTTAATCCGGTTAAAAAGTTTTTTCTTTAGATTCATTTGTTTACAAATTTGTGACACAGAGAAAGGAAATAAATGAGGAAGTAAATAAAGTTATACGCTTTTTATATCTGCTGACCCGGCAAACGTTTGTTTTGCGATGTATATTATTTCTAGGAAACATTTTTTTAGTTCAACAAAAATAACTATCTAAAATAATAAAAAATAGGAGTTGATCGTAAGGGGGTGAAAATTAGGGGTTGTATGTATTTTTGTATACAGTATCATAAAAAAATCTAAAGTTTGTATGAGGAGTATGAGAACGAACATTGTGACACGAGAATTTTATATATTAGATGAGGTTTATGTAATGAAGGTTTTAAATAATCAATAGATAATTAAATAATTATATACCTAAGTAAAGGCGATGTGTTTGTTGCAATTGATTAAAAATCGCATAGTTCTCAATCTTCAGGGCTGACTAAAAAAGAGCAGTGTTTGGCTAGTGGATTCAGCGTGCGATTAAATTAAATTAATTAATATAATAGACACAGGAACGTATGATCTATATCACCTATGTCTCATTTTCGTTAGAAGTCTAAAAAAGGTCAATTAAATTGGTTCAAATACATTATGAGGATCAATCATTTTATTAATAGCTAACAATGTGATCGAGAGCTGTAATTGCCTAGTGGCTTCAGCGTGCGACTCTTATCCCAGAGTTCGATCCCCGGCAGTGAAATTTATTTCTATGTGCGCATTTAACATTCGCTCGAACGGTGAAAACATCGTGGGGAAATCGGCTTGCCTTAGACCCAAAAAGTCGACGGCGTGTCTCAGGCACAGGAGGCTGATCAATTACTTGACTATTAGATTGACAAATGATCATGATTCAGAAACCTAATACCCAGACCTAAAAAGGTTGTAGCGCCACTGATTTATTTTAAATAATCTAAAAGCGTACAACAACAAATCAGAAATGATTATTTTTTATTTATTAAACAATGGCGAAGAGTGGTTATAATGGAGGAGACCTGGCTACTGTACTGTGCTACCTAACAAGTCAGCGACAGCCGTCTCCATACCTATGAGGAATTATATTTATAAAACTTGTATCTTCAAATAAAATAAACACTATAGGAATATCCTCTGTATAATATTTCTCTTTTCTTAACAGCGTAAATTCAATTTGACAGAAAGAGACTAATGATAATAAAATAAAACTATTTAACTGTTTTGTGAATATGATTGTTTTCTCTCTGTGTCTCCAGTCTAGACGTGAACGAGTTTCTTAATAGTTTTACCTCATGCGGTAACAACTAAAGAGAAGTCACTTAAAACGAGTTTTGCAGACAGTAACGTTGCTGATAGTTAGGCTTCAAGGATAAATATTTTTTTTGTATTTAGTTTGTAGGTAGGATTATATATCAAAGATTTATCTGTTCAGAGAAACGCTCCTATTTCCAATTGAAACTGTTGATATACTTAGTACATCTAATTTATAAAATTCTCGCGTCACGATGTACGTTCCTATACTCCTCCGAAACGGATCGACCGATTCTTATGAAATTTTTTTATGCATAATTAGTAAGTCTGAGAATCGGATATCTATTTTTTTATCCCCCTAAATCTTAAGGGTGGTCCCACCCCTACATTTTTATTTTAAATTTTTAGACAAAACTTTTTGTTTTAATTTTTTTATACAGCATACAAAAATACATTATATTATAGCGCTTAATTGTCACCCCTCTACGATCAACCCCTATTTTTTATTATAGTAGATAGTTCTTTTAATTGAACTAAAAAAATGTTTCTCAGAAATAATGTACATAGCAAAACGTTTGCCGGGTCAGCTAGTATTATATACTATTTTTATTTAAATATTAAAGTAACTAATGCACCAACGTTATTCAACAAATGAAGACAATTTCTGAATGCTAATGATACACTCTTCTCTGGCATGTTCTTGAAGGTAAGAATCATTAAAATCTAAATAAACAAAATTATACTATTTTTAATAAATATTAAAATTTGTCCAACTAAATTGCTCAATTCCTCAACGTAACTATGACGTCACGAATACATCAAGCAATTTACGGCAAACGGCAACAAGCATCAATACTGCGTATACAATGCTAGCCGATATGGCGCAACTTCATCAACTAGGCAATACTGTCCTACCACGAGCATTTCAGTATTCGCTCCTATGGACGACATTGTTCTTGAAGCTGCGGCTTATATTTTAGAATAATTAAAAACGAAATAAAATAAACAAAATGTATTGTGCACTATTTTATTGTGTAAAATTAGGTGATATATTATTCAAAACTTTACTAGAATGTCACGAAAGCTTTGAATTACTTTGAAAAAGTAATTAGAAATTATTATTATTTGATCTCCTCTCCCCGCAAAGCAGCGGCAACCAAAACAAACAAGTGCGAATGAGATATATACAAAAATTGCTAGGAATTTCCAAGTCCATCGGATATTCGTCAATTCGTATCTGCGACATTGAGCGGTATGAAATATCTGGAGCAAGTAGAAGCAATATCGCCGCAATAATTTATTGAAATTGCTCCAGATAGGTCCATTCGT